TCATCCTGTGACTTCTAATTTTTAATCTCTAAAATGCAGAGATTGGAGAGAATATCTTCCAAGATAATTTCTAGGCCATAAATTTTCTTTCAATTATTGTACAAGTCCTTTGAATAGTATCTGAATAATTACATGTTTTAATATAAGGCTTCATATGTTATAATGGTTAATTCCTCCCAGAATTTTTACTCTATATTTAAAAAGAGCAATGATTTCATTTTCAGAAGAATAAATTTAATTTTGTAGGTAAAATTGCACAAGTAATATTTTAGAATAATATGCTAGAGTAGTCCTCTTTTTAGCAACATAAGCACTTTATGATACGTACTGTAGAACACATTTGTATTATATATGGGTCAGCTAAATATTAGTTAAAAAGCGTTATGCCTGAAATATTTTGCAGTTTCTCACAAACTAATTGAAGATCACAATATATTTATAAAATTTGAAGAATGGGCCTTCCTATCTCTAACTCTAATATCTTTTAGAAAGATAATGGACATATGCAAAGTTATATTGAATCACTGTAATGATAACCATTATTATTAAGTTACAGAATTGGCCAAGAACTTAAGTCATTTTTCACCAAGTCTTGAGTCACTCCACTGTGCAATCCTGTGAAATAATCACGTATTTTTCACCATTGTATTAAAGATGAACTAATTATTGCCTCACTGCAGTGGAGTTAGTTATATTTCCACTGAAGGCCAGAACTTGTAGAACTTTTAATACATTTTAAGGTAATGTAGGAAACTGCTTGCTTAAAATTTCTTACTACTTTTAATGTAAGATTGAAGACAGTATATTTTAGGAAAATTTTGTGTCTTCTAAAATCACATAGTACTTGATTTGAGTCTGGGCTCTACCACTATTCTGCAAAAGTAGAAAAAAATTAATTTTAAAAACCCAAATATAACATTCAGATTCACATTTAGCTGTCTTACAGTCCGAGGGAGTACAAGTACCAGCTCCTGGGAAGAGCCTTCTTGCCATCTTATCCCACTGAGGAGGTGAAAAGTCAAGAGAGAGAGCATGAGATGCAATTACATCTTAACATGAATTGAGAGAGCTCAGACCTTAAAGCCAGATATACTAATCACACATTACATTCTTAATTCCTTGCTCCATCTCATGTCCTAGTTTGAAGATGGCCAAGGTGCCTCACTGAGCAGAAGGTAAGAAGGTTGAGTTTCAAACTCTCAGTTTTCCAAATTCTTTTGTAAATAATTCATATTATAGAATCCTGCCTTTAATTTATATTACCAATCGGTAATGGTCAAGCTATATGAGTCTGGAAGAATAAAATGCAAAACTAGGCTCACAGTATCACATAATGAAAAACAAATATTAAGTGGGATCACAGAGGCTAAAATTATTACAAAATCAAGTGATTCAAATCTCCAAAAATTCTTTAATTATTGGCATAACAAAACAACAGGACATTTCTTTATCTAAACTTTAACAAATGTAATACTACATAAGTTTAGAAAATGACATTTATTTTCATTAGATAAAGAACAATAAAATAGCACTTGATGTTGAAACTTTGCTTAGCCACTAACTAAATTTTTATTGCAACTCACAGAGGATAATAAAGCAGATATAAGTTGATCCTTCTGTGTATTCTAAAGAATGCCATGTATTATATAAATTTTCCCATTGTTGAGACACAGTGCTCAATATTCACTTTTTAAACGAATGGTTTAATTTAACTCAAGGTTTCAGAGATTTAGGATATGGTTGGCAGGCTTTAAGGAAGAAACCTCACGATTGAAAGGGGAGTGGAGCACGGATACTTAGTTCATCGGAGTGGGAAAGAGTAATAGAGACTAATGAACAAGGAATAACGTATGTAGTACTCAGGATCAAGCCTCCTTCACCTCCCACTTGCACCTAGGAGTCTCCTCTATTAATCTGCTAGGCATTTCCTAGCCCAGTGAAATAGATGTATCAGGAGGAAAGTTTATTTGAAACCATTTTGAAAGCATTAGCTGCCTTATGACAAATCTTTTGAGAGCCCACTACATAATCTAAATGGTCACAAATAACTATATCAGCAGGGATATTTTAAAGTAGTTTTTTTGTTTGTTTGTTTGTTTGTTTCAGTTGTTTATATTTTGGTTGTTGTTTTTGGATTTTTCTGCAACTACTTTACAATAGGGCTAAGAAGTTTTTTGCTTTGTTTTTTGTTGTCGTTGTTGTTTGTTTGTTTCTTTTTCTTTTTTGTACCTGGAATTGAACTCACTACGTTGTGCTTGCCAGGCAGGTGCTGTGCCACTGAGCTGTAACCCTGGCCCCTAAAGTTATTTTTGTTACAAAGTGACTTTTCACAAGACTACATTGAAGGTATAAATAAATAACGTCAAAGAAGCAGAGTAGCATAAAGAAGAAATTCATTAATTTTGGAAGTTTTTCCTTTAAATTAGGAAAAATGGGGAGCTGAGAAGCCAGGTGACTTTTAAACATATAGAGAAGTGTATTTCATAACATTGTAAAGACATACTGCCAGTCGTTCAAATATTTGAGGCAATGTGGATGTCTTATTAGCTATATCAATTGATATTAATGGATAAATATCCCAGATATTTCTATTCTGTCTTAAATGGTATTTTAAACAATTTAAAATGTAAAAGTGGCAAGACAGATTATTTCATTGGGATCCGCATTCATCTAAAGGTCAAATGTAATTTGCATCTTCAGAGTTTTTATTCAGACTGTTGAGAAGAGTTTGATTCTTCTATCGGCTGGAATACAGGGGCTTATTAAACAAAGATGATTTGGAAGATGGTGCAACTTTGTAGAAATCCAGAGAAGTAGTACGGTAAGAACTCCTGATGCTAGTCATATGAGTTACCAAAGTTTATCTGAACAGTATATTGGTTTTCAAAGATGGGACATTAAGTTTTTGAGATGAGACTAAAAGGTTGACTAAATAAATACAGAAATAATTCAGAGCAAAGACACTAGGAAGAGTCCTTTTATAAATTTTGGTAGCAAAAGAAAACAGTTAAATAGTTACTGGGCCTATGGAAATTACAGACTATGCTGCAGAGTTAGAGAGCAGAGGAAAGCTTAAGCAATGTGTTAGGATCCATTGACTGATCATATAGAATATGTTGCGGGCACAGTAAGATACTTCCTCTGAAGTTAGAGGTTGTGTAACTCCATGATATCATTTTACTAATTAATAAAGCAGAATTCACTAGCATCATACAGGAAGCCGATTAACTCCTGGCCTCATATTTCATCTTTCCCCAGCAGGACACTTTCCAGGCTTCACTCATTACTGTCTTGTTGTCTTTTCTTACTGATAATAAACTGATATGACTTTCTTGTGCCCAATGATATTATTATCTTCCCTTTTTCTTTTGCTTCTAGAGCTTTAACTGATAACATTGTATTAATAAATATTACTAATATAATTGACTGAATAGCTTCATATTAATTAATAAAATCAAGTGCAAACTTTACAATTTCATTTTGCTTCATGTAACTAAAGTTCCATCCCAAGACAAAATGCCTTAAAATTGTTCTAAAGTCTACTCTTAAATAACCGTTTAAAGGTTTTCCTCTTTCTCAGAATTCTAAGTTTGGAGATTTTTTTCAACCTCTTCCTCTTCTTCACTCAGATTCTCTATTAATGTGGTGAAAATATTCAACAATCACTGCCTCAAATAATAAGTTTATACAAACTTTGACCTTCAAACACAAGCAAGATGCATTAGTCCTGGCTGACTTAAGAAATGTGGAATGACTAAAGGAACTCCAGATACGCAGACACTCTAAAGAACTCGCTATATTTTGTGTAACCAATATCAAAATCCTGAAGAACTGTTTCTCATGAGAACATTAAAGTTTAATATTTAATTTTTAACTAAAGTGTTCTTATTTCTATTATTGGAATAGAAACATGTTGTTGGAAAGAGGAGTAGATCCCCCCAAAATAAGATGTTACAGCAAGGAGAGGGACAGACCACTGGCAGATAAATACACCATAATACATACACTCTAGTGATTCTAATCTTTCTAATCTCTTTTCATATCTCTGATAAAGATAGTAATTTCACACAATAAGACTCCATGAATATTAAACCAAGTTTTTGTTCATTGATTCAACATATCCAAATAGAAAAATATGCCAGAGTCCACATATAAATACATGTATATGTGTAATACACATAAGACCACATATCATGTCTAATATGTGCAAGTTTAAGAAAAAGTAGATTTGAATATATGTACTAGGGGTTGAACAGATGCAGAATTAATAGATTAAAAAAAGCCAGAATTAATCATTGCATGCCATATTCAAGTACTGAATTATTACAGTGAACCACATTAATATGTATAATTAACACATGCTAGCCAAATATAAAACAAGTATCAATTATCAAGAAGTGAACTCAGGGCAAAAAATGCAAACCAAATATGGTAATCTAAATTAAAAAAAAAAAAAAAAACTAAGGGCCTGAGGGCATAGCTGAATGCCAGAACAATTCCTTAATATGTGTAAGTCCATGGGTTTAATCTTTGTTACTAAAATAAAAATAATAATTACTGTGATAACATGCACAAAAAGAACAAGACAGATTAATAACAAGCAGTTAGGAGATAATTAAATCTAGCATAAATTAAAATATTTATTTATTAAAGGACTTAAAGCATCAATTATTATTAGCTCTCTCTGTGCCTTTCTTTGATTCTCTCTAGATAGAATCATGATAGATGGACAGGTCAATATATCAGGAGATAGGATAGATACGGGTATTAAACAATACTGAAAATAAAAATAGTTAATCGTTGAGTGAAACTGAATAAAAATGAAGAAGAATTAAAAGAAACTATGTTATATTGGAAAAGAGGAACAGGAAAACTAAAAAAAAGATAAATCAGAAGATGAAGTATTAAATTAGAGATATGAAGAATTGATTAACTCAATATATATCTAACATGATTCCCAGAAATTGAAAAGAAAAATGATAGTATTTAAAAATATAATGCAATAATAGAGATTTTTCACATGTGAAAAGTGGTACATAAAATATGTGTGAAATAATTATCATAGAGGATTTAAATAGTTAAAGCTGTGTCTTACTGAAGATTACAAACAAAGAAAAAAATGGATGTGTCAGAAAGAACATATGATTGACTCAAAGGGAAAATAGTTATACTTGTGAGACCTAATTTACCTCTCACAATAAACATGGAGTGAAAATGGAATCATATCTTCAAAACTGAAGAGAAATAAATTCAATTCCAGAATTCTATAATCAGTTAAATTATGAGGGCAATTGATGACAGTTACAGATGAACAAGAAGGTATTTTTCACCCTCAGGCCCCTCCAAAAGATTACTAAAGAATACATTTCATAGGAAGATTAAAATGAAAGCAAAGGAGAATAGAGTAAAATACAAAAATACTATAGTAAATTTGGTCAGAATTCCTAAAATATGATGCTTAATTTACTTAATTAAGAATATTAAAATGAAATACTAAAAAACTAACCTTATCTGACTAACTTCTTTAGTAAAATATTAGGAAATAATAAATTTGACATGGGCAATAGCTGGTAAGTGATGAGAGATTTCTAGTTCCTCCAAACTGACAGAAAAAATGATGACAATATGTGGTACCATTAGCATTAACTTAGCTTGTGAAGAGTGGAATGTTACTAGTTAGAAGACTATCTGATATCTAGTGTTTCTTGGCAGGTTCTCAGTCATGTTTTACTTCTTTTATTTTTAGAGCATTAAATACTTGCTTGGTCAATGGTTACACAGGATAAAGTCTGAAATTTTTAGCCCTCTTATTCCCTAAGTATGACCATATGTACAAGCTCTGGTCACATAGAACGCTCCTGAGAATATCACACAGAACATGTTACAATTACATGCACATAGAAAAGGCACTTGTCATAGATCATGAACGGTAAGACCAATGCCAAGCATGGCAGATCAAGTAAGAGTCATCCCTTGAGTCAGCAAAATCATGTCGTACCATATTTTTTTTGCAAGGCTTTAAGTTTCCTCACATAACTCAAAGTTCTATGTTAAGGAAATAACTTTGCTTAAGTTTCTTTTATGTTTTGTTTCAATACTGTATATGCATTTTGGAAGGTGGTATTCACAACCAATATAAATGTATGCAATCAAGCCATTACTTAAAGTAAGATATTTTGAAGTCACATGTGTGAAATAATTTATATTTCAACATCATACATGCTGAGAGAAATAATGAAAAAAGATTGATGAAAACTCTAAATTTGGGATGAAAAGTTAACATGTTTCAAGCAGTAACATTACAGCACAAACCAAAAGGTTTCAAATTTTGGAAAGTGGTGTGAAGAAACTGTTCAAAGTGTTGTGTGGTTATATAAGGAGGAAACCAGATCTAATCTGAAGGAGTTGAAACTTCCCTGATGAATGACATTTCAGAAACATGTCAAGAATAAGATTTAAGGTGAAGAGGTGGACAAATTCCAAGCAGAGAGAACATAAAAAAGAAAGGTTTATGAATTTTATGATTTGATTAGAGCCTGAAAAAGAAAATTCTATGGCAAAAGGCTAGAAGATTCTGTAGAATCCATGTCACAGGGGCTTCTCTGAAACTTTTCAGCTCATAGCATCTTATTTTGGAAAGGAACATGTAATCAATCTAGCAAACGTGTAAGAAAAGCTTAAGTGTAAGGTTTTATTTTTCAGTCAATGTTAAGTATTTTAAATAGGAACAAATAATCTGAATTACAGACAATCTAGATGTCACCTCTTTAAAGTTTAATGTAATGACATTTGAATGTACATTTAACTTGGAAATATTATGCATATCAATATTCACAAAATGTCTTGCTCTTTGCTGGTTCCTGCTTACTGTTTGCGGCCACCATGAACTGGGGCCCAGCCATGCCCACCTGCCTTGGAGCCAACTGAGTACAGATTGAAAGTTCCAAAAACTGTAAGAAATAAATCTTTCCTTTCCCAGCTTTGGGCTTCAGGTATTTTGTCTCAGTGACAAGAAAAAAGTAACTAAGGTAGAATTTGGTACTGAGGTGTGGGGTCGTTTGCTGTGACTATACCTCACCATGTTTTTTGAGAGGCTTTGGAAATGGCTTGTGGCCAGAGTTTGGAAAGGTTTGGACAAGTCGCCTGGATGCATAGAGCTGGCACAGCTTAGGCTGTTCTGTAGAGGAGATTCTGGTCAGAGCTCCGGAGACCAGAAGGCTGATAGAAAGCCTCATGGTAAAGATCAGGCTTGGGAGGTTTCTGCTAGGAAGAAGGACTGCATTGGTTGTTGGACTCCCCATGATATATGTTATGGCTTGGCAGAAAGTTTGTCTGCATTTTGCTCATGCCCAGAGACTTTGCCTGAGATTGAGACAAAGGGCAATGGAGTGATTAATCTTGAAAAAGAAATTAAAAAGCTATCAAATATTGAAGGTGTGGCATGGCTATTTTTGGTGGCTTTTAGCCAGCTTTATGTTGCAAATCAAGAGCAAAGAGCCCAGCAGGATAATTTGCAATACTGTGAGTTTGACCAGAAGGAAAATGCCAGGAAGACTGTGGATTGTAAAGACAGAGTTGAGATTTTGACTGCTGAGGAGAAACAGAGAGATAAGAAAGATGGCCCCAGGGCATCCCCGGAAGGGGGGGCCCCACCCTTTGCAGCCTCATTGCAAAGGTAAAAGAATTTGCTCAGAGGAGAAGGCTACAGAGCACCAGGTTCCAGAATGGAGACAGAGGTCACATGAGGTTCCAGGATGGTGGCAACACAGATAAGCTTTTTTGTCACAATCAGGTAAACAGAGCCCTGCTATCCAGGCAGCTGACCCCTACAGCCAACAGAGAGAAAAACCTGGCTACTGCTCCAGCTAGCAGCAAACCTTGGTGGCATCCACAAGGTGCTGATTTTAGGTGCAAGGAAAATGCATGAATTCTGAGTGTAAGATGGCTTCCACCTCGATTGCAATTGGCTGGGGAGGCCAAGCAGTGTGCCCCTGACAGGGCAATTTGTGAAGATGTAAAGGTGAAGCCAAAGGTGCAGTGGAGACCCCAGAAGTTTGAAAAAGCCAGAAACCTGGGTGATCCAGGAAAGATGCAAAAAGCAAGCAGAGAGGATTTAAGAGAAAAGCTGCAGGAGCTGATATCCCTGGAAGTGCCGTGGGGGTGGAATCACCCAAGCCTTTTGGAGTTTGCAACTAGATTGCTTCTGATGCTGAGCATGTATCTCTAGGACATAATGTTTGTCCTGCTGGATGTTGGACTTGCTTTGTTTCCAATGCTTTATATTCCCCTACTTGTAACTTTTGGAAAGGTAATGTCTGTCTTGTGCCTGTGCATTTCAGAAATGTTTAACCTTGTTTCATTTGTACAGAGGGTTACAGTTAAAGAGTTTGCCATACATCTTGGAGGAGACTTGGGACTTGGACTTTTCAGCATGCTGAAACTTAGGACTTTGGCAACTCTTAGAGGCAGACTAAATGTCTTTTGTGTAAAGATTGTACATGAGTCCTGTGGGACAGGGGTGGAATGTCATGGTTTATGTCTGTGGCCCCCATGATGAATAATTTCCTTTCACAATGAAATCATTCACCTTCTAGATGCTTAGAGTTATAGCTGTGAAAAATTTGATTTTTCTAGAGAATTATTTCATATAATCCCCAGTTTTAATAAATGAATTAGTTGGTCTTGAAAGTCCTATTTTTTAATAAAATCGTTTATTTTTATTATTTTGATTGACACATAATAATCATATGTGTTTAGGGGGTACAATAAAAATAAGCACGCAAACTCATAGTGTCTACCTGATTGGCATTATGATTCGTATCTAGATGTCTCTCAACAGCTTCAGGCTCTCATAGGCAGCAGTTTGGAGAAGTGGTTGCATTATGGGAGCTTACAATTCACTTGCTGTTGGAAGGTGGGCTCTGGTCAGAAGAAGCCGGTCAGTGGGAGTGTGGCTTGGACAGATTTATCACTCTCCTGATCTCCTGTGTCTCTCTGTTTCTGTTCTTCTTCTCAGTATACAGCTTGCCTCCACCACCTCCTTCTGCCATGATATACTGCCTTGAAGCTGCCCAACCATGCAAGGACTAAAAGTGTTAAAATGTGAGTCAAAATAAAGCTCTCCTCTTTTAAATTGTGGGTGTTGGGTCCCTATCTCTTCCTGTCTGGCACTATTCTTCTGTCTGTTTCTTGGCCACCATGAGCTAAGCAGGTTTGCTCTGCCATGTCCTTCTACCATGTCATCTCTGCCTTGAAGCTGGCTGACTGCAGAATACATATCTTGGGAATAAGCCAAATTAAATATCTCCTTGAACTATAGTGTCTATTATCATGTCTCAGTGATGGAAAGCTGACTGAAACATCTAGTTTTCAACCTATGAGTACACTGTGTAATGATCCAGTCTAAGAAATTAGCTTACTTATCTTCCCAAACTGACATCATTTCTGTATAGTGAGAACATCTGAAATCCTTTCACATAGGTATTTTGAATAGACAATGCATTATTGTCAGCAATACTGAGCCTTATATGAAATAGAGTGTTACAGCTATTTCTCCTGATGTAACAGTGGACTGGTTGTCCACCTTTCTTTTTCTCTCCTCTCACCTAATCTTTTTAACTTGTGGTAACCATGGTTGCTACCCCAGTGAGTCACATTTCCAATATAGAAGTGTCTTAGGAAACTGTAGGGAGTGACGCAATAGCCCCACTGCTGCCTCCCTGCCTCTCCCTCCTATGGGCACAGAATGCGCCTGCCTACATTAATCATAATCCTCTCCTGCTTACGTCACATACCCGGACGTGACGATGACCCATCAGAAACCACCCTGTAGCCTCTTCCTGTCCCACCAGTCTGCCCTTGGCCCATAAAGGATCCAACCACTTCCTGAATAAACAAGACTTGATTGGACTCCTCAACTTGTCTCCATCTCTCTTTGCCTCACACCCTGTTTTATTCATCCTCGTTCCCCCTCCAGGTATATACCCAGTGGATTGATCCACAGGCCGGATCAAGTGGCACCCAGCATGGGGGCTCCTGGCATGGGGGAGTCAACGAGGGAGCCATTCGAGAACACCAGCTAAAAGTGAAAGCAAATTGAATCAAGGACCGAGGCCTGTGCAGACGACCACCCGACGTGCTGCCCGAGTCATGGTGAGTGAACGGCAACCCCATCCCCTTTCCTCAACATGGGTCAAGCATTGAGCGAACATGAATTCTTCATGGGAGGCCTTAGCAAGTCATTAAAGACAAGAGGAGTAAGGGTTAAAACAAAAGAATTATTTCAGTATTTTCAGTTTATTCATAAGGTTTGCCCTTGGTTCTCTTTAGAGGGCTCTATTGATGCAAAAAATGGAAAAGAGTAGGAAATGCATTAAAGGATTATTATCAGGTCTTTGGCCCTGAAAAGGTCCCAGTTACAGCCTTTGCATAGTGGAACCTAATCTCAGAGCTACTTACACAGTGCTGCCGAGACCCTCAAACTGATAAAACAATCACCCAAGGTGAAGTAGCTTTACACGCTTCCACTTTCAGGAGACAAATCTAAACCTTCTTGCCCCTCCGGTGAGTCAAATGATATGTTAAAAAAGCCCCAAGATGGTGGCCCACCGCCATCTGAGCCCCTCCACCCGAGGCCCGCCACAACTCTCTATGTAAAATGGCACTTGCCTCACTTCTGCCACAACAGGGTGGGCCTCTCCCTGAAATGGCATTTCCGGTGACAGAAACAAGCGTACCTCCCCAAGATGGTGCCGCACAGCTGCAAGACAGCATGGGCACAATGCCGCTAGCTCCACAAGTCATTAGAACCCATACGGCATTCACAGTGGCAGCTTTAAAAGAATTAAAGACAGTGGTTGCCCAATATGGCCTTACAGCTGCTTTCACTCGTGCTGTTTTAAATTCTCTGACTGATGGCTGGCTCACACCTATAGATTGACAATGATTGGCCTGAATGACTTTATTGAGTAGGGATAATCTTTTGTAAAAATCAGAATATACAAAAAAAATGCAAAGAGACTGCCAGGCACAATACACAAGCTGGCAATGGGTAACAACTTACTGCATGGAAATTACTTTTCTGTAAAGAATGAATCATTCTAATCATTCCAAAGTAAAATTTTGATGCATTTAAGCAACAATTTTTGAAAAGGAAATTCAAAATCACAAAAACACACAACAATGATGTTTTATATTTTATCTCTATGTTAGTATGTTATTTTGACTGTGAACCAAATCTTTACATATAGTTTAAAGAGATTCACAAGATTTGTAACACGCATCCTCCATCTATGAATCATATTGAGGACGGACAGATCTAAATGCCTCTGTGGGCTAATTTCCTTTGTTTCCGATAGCTCTGTTTGGAATGGGTACAGTATATCTGGATTTGTTCAATACAAGAACAAGCTGATCCCAGCGACAGAACTCTGGGGACTCCCCTCTCCTGACCAAAACATTTTGTTTTCCTCTCTCTCCCCTTCTCATTCTCCATCTCTTTTTATTTATCCACCTCAGAGTTTGGTCTCTTCTATTGCATTTCTTCCAGTTTTTAGTATATCCAGCTGTCGGTAAATCCTTATAGTCATTGTCTACATATATAACAATGTTGCATTCAGTGATAGACAGTGTATGTTGCAATGGTCTTAAGAATTTGATCAACTTAAGAACTCCTACTGCCTAGTGACATCACAGCTGCTTGAGTCTGTGGGCGTACACTTTATGATTTTCATACATTAGCAAAATCAGCTCAAAATCCATTTCTCAGAGTGCACCCTTGTCTTTAAGCAGTGCATGACTGCATATACAGAAACTTTCACTTTTGCTGTTACGGCTCTGTCTAGGCACCGTCATCACTGTCCTATCTTACTCTCATGGCCTCCAAAGGGGTGTTTCTTCTGTTGCCCCTTGTACTTTCTCAACACTTCTGACAACGTAACGCTGTGAGCATAGCAATCAGATCGGTGACTCCTCTGTTCCTTCTCCATTCCTCACATTCTAAGTGAAGTATAATTTTGTGTGTCTTATTGATCCAGAAGAAAGTGAACACCAGGCATTTTACTCGGTAGAAATGTGTATCATCACAGTGGTGCACAACACACGCGGTGTGTCTCTGGTTATTTCTCTGCTTGCTTCTCCTACTAATCTCCTTGCTTCTCTTTTCTTCACTTCTGCTCCAATGAGCTTCTTAAACTTAGAATACCACCTCTGCTCCTGTCTAAGGGCTTTGCTCTTGTCATTATTTCTGCCTCAAATCTTTGTTCCAGAGGTATCCACATGGGCCGCCCTCCTTGCTTTCTCAGTGAAGCCTGCCCTACTTACCTTAATTAAAATTATACCCACACCCTCAACACCGACTGCATTTCTCACCTGGCTCTCTCTGGATTCCCTGGTACTTACTGCTTTACAACATGACGTATTCTACCAGTTTATGACCTTTCTCATTCAGGAAGACTATAAGCTCCATCATGGTAGAGATTTTAGCCTATTATACCCATGGCTATTTTGTCCATGGCACAGAACTGTGCCTGCTGAATAGAAACATCTGCAAAACAGGCACATGTATGAGCAGGATCACTCGTAATCCAACAATTATTTGTTCATAGTCATTCCTGGTAATTCAAAGATAAACAAGAGAAAATATGCTCAAGCAGAGTGTATTTTCAGGATACTGAGAAGACAATTGTTTCAGTTGGGAAGACAAATATTGAATTATATGTTTAAATAACTAACCTTAGCAAGTTCAAAGGGAAGCACTCAAATAGAGTCCCTAATTAGGAGTTTTAGATTCTCACTTGGAGTTATATAAATACTTTTTTTTTATGCAACCTTCAGAGTGTGGCTTTCCTCAGTCTGACTGCTTTTGCTTTGCTGGGTTCTGAAGACTCACCCTGCAGTGGGCTCTGCTGGAATCACAGCGTGGCCTTACATTAAGCTAATGAGTCTTTGCTTTTCACATTGTTCCTTTCTATGTTGCTGATGACAAACGGCAGATTAGCCAGCTTGCAGCTATTCTGACCTCCTCATTGAAATTAAAAATAAAATGACAGTTCCATTTTTTTCCCTTTTTTCTCTTGCCTTTATGCTATTATATGAGAACAGGGATAAGAAGTAGAGGATGACTAACATTTTTCTCGCCTAAATATGCTCAGCGAAATGGTTTCATAGGTTTTTATTTCGTATTACCTTTTTCTATTATCATAAAAAATGATACTTGCTCCTGAAACCCTCACTGGTGCAAATCCACAACAAGCAGGTCTTAGAATTTGTCTTAATCTATCTCCCCCAGCAGCTACTCTGGTGCAAATCCACAACAAGCAGGTCTTAGAATTTGTCTTAATCTATCTCCCCCAGCAGCTACTCTGTAAATATTGCTCAATTTGTGTTATATTATAGAAACTTTTGTGAGAGCTGCTTTGTTACTTTAGAACAGTAAGCGAATGTTCCTTCAAATAGCTGCTTCTCATAGGTGATTTCACAGTTTAATTAATGATCCAGGTCTCAGTGAAAGTTTGACTTATTCGTTTGTCTGAAAATAATGACTATGCTGTGGTCTTCTAGAGAAACAGTATGTCAGAGCTGCTGTCTTCGATCTTGACGGTCTCCCGCAATCTGGCAGGTTAAGTGCTTGATATCCAGGTTGATGCTACTGGGTTGAAGTGGGACCTGCAACAGCTAAGCGCCCAGTGCGAGACCTGTAAGTCAGTGGGGTGTTCGTTCACAGCACAGAGTGAGACATGGCTTCTTTTTCTTTGTGAGCCATGAAGTGAGTATTTTTTCTCCACCAAGCCACATACTCCACCAGGATATATTTCCTTATTCTAGATCCAAAAGCAACAAGGCAAATCAGTCTTCCAAAAAATGGGAGGAAAAATAAGCTTGCTCTTTTTATAGGTTGAATATCTCAGGTGCATTATAGCTATAGAATGCTAACTGAAACACAAAAGCCTTCCCTCTCCAAACAAAAGGAAAAAAAATCTTTTAGAAGTACATCATCTCAGAAGTGCAAGGAATCTTTGAGTGTAAAGAACTAAGAGACAAACGAAAATCAGAACTGAGCTGACTTTGGGGATGATCTTGTAGGTGACTGGGAAAAGTGAAGCACAGGTTTGCAAACTAATTGTTCCGAGTTTTAATGCCCAATTAGGGCATTGCATGAGGATTGGAAAATATATATTGAAATAGCATAACACAGGAAGTTAAGCCCAAAGTTTCACATAAGAGGTTAGTATCCTCAACTAATTTTTCTCTTATTATTGTATTATTATTTTCAGTAAAAGTGAGAGATAGGAAAATTTCATTCATCACTGGAAGGTGAGGTGATGACTCACTTCTCGTTGCCTGGGTTTTGAGTAGACTTTTTCCCTGATAATCTAAAACAACACATCCATAAAATCTTGGGCTTGAAGATCAAAGTTATTCTGAATGTATGAATTGAGACCTTCGGGCAGAGAACTCATCCTGCAAGTTGATCTTGACTTTCCTGGGAAAACAGAGGGAAGCAAATGCTAAGCTAATCTTCTAAAATTCTCTGACTTAGGAAAGAAAAGATTATTTCTAAAAATGTTGCATTTAAAAAGTTTCACAGTAAAAATATTATGACATACACTTAGAAAAAAAATTCACAGAATGGTAATGGACTCTGCAAGCAGCAGAATTAATACACACAGATCTGAGACAATAAAGATTAGAAACTGTGGTACGAAATATAAGAGAATTGTAAGGGAAACAAATAAAATTCTACAAATCAAAAAATTCTAAAATTGAAATGCAATATTTACCTTAATAAGCAGCTGAAAGTGGAACTACTACATCTTTTAAAATGACCAAAAATTTCCCAGAGCAGAGTGTGAATGCATATTTCTCTGCCACTTTTTATATTCTCTCCTACTGTAAGTCCCATGAGACAAATTAGGCCTTTCATTCAGTCTTTCAAGTATGTTAAAACCATTAAGTCCATTTTAAAGAGCAACTCATTAGAAAATTGTCATGTGTGGTAGATTGACAACTGGTGGTCACCTGTGACACCCAGCTGACCTGAATCAGTGTGGTGCTGGGTGTGCAAGACCCACCTGAGGATTGCTGCCAACAGCATACAAAGGAGAAGTGGAAGGGAAGATGGTGTGCTGTTGATTCTCCTGGAGAAGCCTGTC